TTATAGTTTCAAATACTACATATTTTTCTATCAGTGTACCTTCTTCCTCCTGGGAAAAACGGACGACACCAAAGGTATCCGGATTGAATTCAAAATTCCTTTTCGTCCTTCCTTTTCTTTAGACTCCTTGGCGGGCGTGGTAGGCTTCTCAGCGGATGGAGCATTCTGCTCGGTTTCTTTTATCATTACCGGAGCTGATTCCGAATCCGCACACTCCGCTGCTTTTGTCTCGTCATCCTGAAATCGATCAAGCAAACTAACTTTAGTTATTTGCTGAAAATAAGAAAAATTGATCCCTGGCATCCGCATTTAATATTTAAAAGTAAGACGATATTACACCTCCTTTTTCCCAGCTACTGTTCTTCGTAACCTATTCCTTAAAGAAATAGAGCAGCAATGGAAAGAAATTATCGTTTCGACAATTCTATTCTATTCTAAAGAATAGTGAGATAAATTCTTTTATTTTCTCTATACCCCGCACTTAAAGTGAAACAAGTACATGAGTTTATCCTTCAAAAAATGAAGCAATTGAATACGTAAGCTGTTCGCCGAAAGTATACTGGGTGAGTCATTTTAATCAATATACACAAATATCTCGTAAAGTATAAGCAAGATTGAAAAAATGTTTTATACAAAAATTGTAAGGTTTAGAGGAACACCTGATGGTGACTTTGATCCTGGTCTTGGAGTCAAATTTAGTGGTCATTTTAAGGTCAACTTGACTTCCTTAAATGGAACTAGTAATTTTTCATATCATTCTTGCAGCTGGCGTCAAGACCTTCTCAAAACACTATAAATAGTTCATTTTTTCAAAGTACAATACTTTTTAGTTACAAGACTTAAAATATCGTATGCTGCGCGTAACACAGTAATAATTTTAATTTTATTTCTACACCTTGCTTACTATACGAAATATTTGCGTATATATTGGTTAAGATGATTCACCCTGTATATATGTAAAGTTATCACACATTTGTTTGTTATAGGACGTCGAGTTCCGGTTGAAAACCAAGGTGATCATTTGATTTCGAAAGCGAGGTGTAGACAGTAAAATCAAGGTCAACCTCGTCAAGACAAAGATCGACCAGATGACGTTGCGCGATCATCGTCATGTACTGTCGCACGTTGCCATCGTCGTCGCCAGACATTCGTCCGGAGTCCAGATGCTCTCCTTCTTTCTCGTAGACGCGACAGATTATTATTTTGAGAGTAGCGCCACTCCTCGAAGTCTTGAAACCTTGGACTTGAACGCTTTCAGAACGATAACTCGCGGTCATTGGCTCTTATATATGTGATACATTTCAGAGCCAGCTGTCTCGGCTTGCGAGTAAACAGAGATAGAAGAAATCTTTGTCTAATATGAATAAGGAGTTTATTTTTATAGGAGTGCATTAACGATGAAAGAAATAAACGCCAACACTCAAAAAGACGTTTAAAAAAGGGAGTGTTATTCAAAATGTTATTTTATAAATGTAATTTTATTTCTAATTTTATGTAAGAAACCCATTCTCAAAGAGTCAGGTATCAGAGATGGAAAGTGCAAGATAAATTTGTATAATTAATATTTTATGCATCGTATCTTTCGAATATATTGAAAGTAAATCACCAAACACGCCATCTTTAGCATGAATCATAACGCGGCTCTAAAAATATCGTGGATAACCATATTGCTTACAATTAGTATCCTCGTTTAAAGCAACTTGAAGATACTTGAAACTACTCTGCTGTCAATTACAACGAGTTCCTTGAACGCTGGATGTACAAGTTAATAGCTTTACGTTTGCTAGAATTATTAATACTTTAACTCTCACCCAACCAAACAGACCTTGCTCTTGAATCATTTTCTTGATATCGACATTTGCTGCAAGACGTGATCGGCCGCAATTAAGTTCAATGCTTCTTACTAGCGATAAATCGATGTCATGTTATTACATTCGAAGAATCGCGTTTCAATTTAATTATCTACTATTATATCATACCAATTCAGTGAAGATTCATCAGGCAATATCTCTAAAACTTGTTAATTTTTAGATTTGAGTAAAAAAAAGATATATTTACTCGCGTACAAAATTGAAAATACTTTTATTCATTAAAAGGTTTTTAATCCAATAATGCGTGTGCACTGAGAAAAATGTTTTAAAACATCAACAAAACCACTCGACGTACCTGTACAAAAATGTATTCTGGTTATACTAAACAAAATTTCTAGTTATCTTGATATTTATAGCTAGAATATTTGATAGATTGAATTGTATCTGATTTCTATTTTTACAGTTGAATCTTACATTTTTTGAGATGCTGAACTGATTCTGCACCTTTTGCACCTAAAGCCAATGTTATTGTAGTTCACGGAAATATTTGTGTAATATGCAAGTTATATCCCATACGCACTAAAGCTTTCAGAAACATTTCAGAAAACATTATTGCAATGACATGTTGCAATGTTTCTGAAATGTTTCTGAAAGCTTTGGTGCTGTATGGGATAGCTTACTCACACAGCACATGTAGATATTGAGAAAGTTCTGAAAATATCACAACAGTACGTTACGTATATTCTCATAACTTTCGAATATGTTAAGTATCTGATGTACTGATGTCCGCTTTTTCTCACATACGAGTATCCCAGATAACACAATATATTCTGTGAATATTCTATTTACGATCAAATATGCTTTTCGGGAAAATATTCTTATAGAATTAATTATAAATATCTTTAGAATATTCTTGTTTTAAAAGAAACATTCTATAAATATATCTAGAACATTTTAAAATATTTAATAAGAATATTATATAGCATATTCCAAAAATATTCAAAGAATGTATATCGTAGAGCTGGCACTAAGAACACACCTAACCTATATATTATAATATAATTATATGCGTGCAGCGGCTACTAGCTACCACGCAGTGTTGCGGGAACGAGATCGAGTGCATGTAGCAGTGTGAGTAGGCAACCCGTGTCAAGCGGTGGAAGGTCGTCTCTCGTTTTGGCAGCATTACGATTATTACATCGTTATCCTAGCTTAGCCTAATTATCCTCGGACTGTTCTACCGATTATCCAGTCTGAATTCCATAACCTAAAATAAGTCGCTATTATTGGTTCTCCCCACGGTCTTACATACAGGTCCTTCAACTCATTGTCAGCCAAATTTTGGTGGTGGAGGTAGGTCGAATTTTTAAGCCAAAAATCGTTCGTCTCTTGGCCACGAGGGTCGCTGCGATACTGTAGTACAGCGGTAGTAGGACAGAGACACAGATATAGAAATCACGGTTTTTGGCTTAAAAATTCGACCTACCCCCTCCATATGAGTTGAAGGACCTGTATGTAAGACCGTGGTTCTCCCTCTGTGATTTTGTTCGACGTTTGGCTTACAATCAGTAAGAATTGCAGTTATATGTATAAGTTGTTCGAGATCCGGCGCGGAAACGCGAGTGCGCGGAGTGTCCGAAGAAGAGAGGAGACACAGAGACGAGAAGCGCGCTGACGCTGAGACCGCGCGTCGAAACTCGCGTTTCCGCGGCAGAGGAATAAATGAGAGAACAAGCAGGAAATAAGATTAGAACAGGAAAACTTTATTGCAATCCGTCACCGTTTTTTAATCAAAGACAACAACAACATATCGGTCCTTAGCGACCGATGTTTCCTCGCGCCGCAACTTCAGCCCCCGGCTCACTTCGTTCCACGGCAGGCGTGCATTCACCGGGCGGCTCCATGGCCCGTGGGGCGAGCGCAATGATGCCACCGTCATCAATGGGCACAGCGCAACAATATTTGTAGGACGTACAGAATGTTCTATACAATATTTCCTAAATATTCCTGAAACCTGTTTAGCATATTACAGGAATATTTCAAAGAATATTCTGTAAATGTATTCAGTATATCAAAATTAGTCTCATTCTATTGTCCTCCGTACATTCATATGTTTTTTTCATTGTATCGGTATATTTTTGGAATATTCTAATATTCTCGAAGAATATTCACGAAATCTTTATAGAACAGGTTTGTGCTATCTGGGATAGTATGTGCTGAAAATATACCAATGGTATACAGGATGTCTGATGCAAAAGTAGCCAACTTGAAAATAGTGGTAGATTGGATTAATCTAAGGAGAAATATTATGTGCCGCGGTACAAAAGTAACAATAGTTTTCGAGTAATAAATTTACACGTTTGAGCGAATGAGGATGCAGGAGACGGTAGGCCGGACTCGGAAGGCATTTAAGAAAATCGATCGATGAGCGGGAGGTGGAGCGACGCGCGAGATACTATGTTTATGTTTCGGGTCGCCCGTCGCTCGCGCTCGCTGCCGCGCTCGCCGCCCGCGCCGCGCTCCCCGCCGCGCCTAGGTTTT